CTTCGTCGTCGGGCTGATGGACAGCTGGTGGCAGGCTACCTCGGGGTCGAGTCCGGGCATTTCTGCGGCGCTCCATGCGAAGAGGTCGGCGTTCTCCCGGAGGCAGGCTTGCAGTTGTCGTTTCGCCAAGTCTGGGAGTCCGGCGCCGATCTTCACGGTTCTGCCCTTGTCTTCCCCGAGGATGATGATCTCGAATTCACTGTCCGGGATGGGGCGTGCCGGGTGGGCGGGTTGCTCATTGGCTTCGTCGATCCTTATTTCGTGATCGCTCTCCTCGGTGAAGCAGCTGTCGAGGTCCACGGATCCGACCAGCTCCTTTGGTTCGCTCTTCGGTGCTACGGTTGGGGTCGCCTTTTTGGTTGCTGAAGCAATGGTGTCCAACCCTTTCAGCGCGGCCTCGAAGCACCTCCGGGCGGCCTCGATGTCTCCTTTAAGGGTCACCACGGCCCCCCGTTTCGTGTAGTACTTCATCTTCAAGTGGACGGTGGAGGGTACCGCGGTGAGCTCTGTTATCGTTGTTCTGTCCAGGATACAGTTGTAGAGGGATGGGCACTCGATGACTAAGAAACGGATGCTGATTTCCTTGGCCGTTTCCTCTTCTCCGAAAGTGACTTTCAGCTCCACGTACCCCCAAGGTCTCGTCGTCGTCCCGTTGAACCCCTGAAGGTCGGAGCCTACGTAGGGGGAAAGGTTGGATTCGTCGAGTTGGAGGGTCGTGAACAGGTGTGTGTGTGTGTGTGTACATGATGTCCACCGAGCTACCTCCGTCGATGAGGATGTGCCTGACGTCGAAGTTCGCCATCCTCGCCCATACGAGCAGGGGAATGTTGGAGTTGGGGGATCCCCCTGGGAGTTCCTCGAGGTAGTATGTGATCAGATTGGATCGACCGCGGAATCTTTCAAGCGTGCTCATTTTTCGGAATTGCTCGTGATAAGCTCGTCGAACTTCCTTTTCACTGATCCTATGGACAGGCTCCTTGTGGCGCCACCCGAGATGACCATGGCTCTGGCGAAGTATTCCCACCGGCTGGTTGGCCGGACTGGCTCGCTGGGTAGGTCGGGGCCATCGGGGAGGCCGAACTCTCTATCCGCGAACCAGTCCTAGGGGAGGCTGACACACAGCGCGACCTGGAGTCTGTTGTCACCGTCCGAAGAGGGGATTTCTTCGATTTTCTTGGCCTCGGGGGCTTCTTGCCTCGAGGTCTCACCCCTCCCCCCCGGTGTATCTCTTTAGGTGGTCGTCTTTGATCAGGATTTCGATCGCGTCCTTGAGATGGATGCAGTCTTCGGTCACGTGCCCGTGGCTCCTGTGGAACCGAAAGTATTTCGACTTGTCCATGTTGGGTTTGGGGGGCGTCGGCCGGGGGAAACGGACACCTCCTTGGACAAATTCGGTTTTGGCGCATTCGGCCAGTATGCGCTCGCGGGAAGCGACTAAGGCCGTGTATTCCGTGAATCGGCCGGCAGGGCCGCGTTGTTCACGAGGGCGATCTTCCCGACGACGGTCACCTCCCCGCCGATGGCTCAAGGCTCCGTCATCTCGGTGACCGCGAGGGGCCTCCCTGTCTCGGGTGTCTCGTGCGGAGTTGGCTGCTTGGGTTTCCTCCAATCGGATATAATGCGTTGCGCTGTCGAGGAAATCCTGTAGGGAGGTTGGCCGGTGTATGCCTACGGCCTCATAGAACTTGGAGTCATGGCGTAGACCCTGTTCCATTAGGTAGCGCTTCATCTCGTCTGACGTCGTTACCTGCACCTTTTCCCGAGTGAATCTTTCGATGTACTTTCGGAGAGGTTCGTCGGGGGCTTGGATTATCGCCCCGAGGACGGCCTCCGTCTTCGGATGGCGTCGGGACGCTGTGAAATGTTTTGAGAACAGGTCCTTCAGGACTCTCCACGACGTTACCGATTCGAACTCCAGACTTTTGTACCACGTCATGGCGCCTTTCCTCAGGGTCGTCGGGAATAACCTGCACTTGATAGCTACTCGGACGTTTCGGTAATCGAGCATGGCCTCGATGTCTTCCAAGTGATCATCTGGGTCGGATGTGCCGTCGTACGTCGATAACGTCGGGGGTTTCTCCATCCCGTGGGGAATGGGGGCGGCCATGATTTCCTGGGACAACGGGGTCCGGTAGTCGTCTTCGTCGCTAAGGGCGGGGGATTGGGGAGGAGATGAGCCGTTTAGGATAGGCACCTGGTTTCGGGTCCTCGGTCTCTTGACCGGGGGTTCGACGCGCGGGTTTCTGGCCGGGATCGCCGAAGTGTTCAGCCGTCTCCCGCGAACTTGTCTCGCTGGGGATCTGGTGCGCTCTCGCACCACTTCTGTTCGGGACCTCTCCAGCCGGGGTCGGCGATTTCTGGGTTGAGGAGAGGGACTCCTTGAGCCTCCATTCTGGTCTCCCCGCGGAGGGGACCTTGGGGGGCCTTCCCGCTCTAGCGCTCCAATTCTTGCGTTCTGCTGAAACAGCAGCTGGTTCGTCTGGTTGATGGCCGCAAAGAGGGCGGCCACCGTTGGGTCCGCTCCCGCTGGGATAGGAACGGGTTGGAACGCCGCTGGGCTCGGGGGCCGGTGGTCGGCCTGGCGCAGCAGCTCTGCGGATGACGGAGAAGCAGTCTGGTTGTCTCTCTCGTCGGTCTCCGTCGGGCGTGACATCTCCATCTGCTTGCTTCCGTTGGCGGCGGCGTTGAGCACAAAGTCGTGCATGGTATCGTCGTGGTGTGGGCTAGCCATGATCGTGGAGTGCTGGTGAAACTTTGGTTTTCTACTTGGAGTAACGGGGAAGTTTTTGTCCCCACAGTCGGCGCCACTGATCTGACCTGATCAGAAGGGGATCACGGTTGGCCACACGTCGTTGGACTGCTACCTGTTCACCGGTGATGAGGAGGAAAAAGGGGGTGTACCTGCAAAACACTCTGATGCCAAAGTAAGGAGTTGGGTAGAGTGAGAGCAAAGTACAGAAAATGGGTAAGAAGTGAGTTACCTGACCCTCTTGTGGGAGAGGGTATTTATAGAGAGACCTCAGCGCTGGGCCAACGGTCATTTGAGGTGGGTTGGATGACCAGGCCCAACCCTAATGACTGCTAGGGCTTACGTGGCGTAGTGAAGACCAGAACGTGGTCTTCGCCCTAGTCCAACTGTCCCGTGATCTCCGGAAAGTGGGTTTGACCTGCTCTTTCGAAGGTGGGAGCACGTGGAGAGCGTGCGCATGGCACGTTGTTCTCCCCGCGGAGGGGAGCCCGGGAGATTCCCCAGGGGTCTTGCGTTATGGCATGGGAATACCGTCTGCGGAGGGCGGTGCTTGGTCGCTCGGGCGATTCGCTTGCCCGGCGTGGTTGGGACGGTTCTCCCCCGCGGGGAGGTCATTCTAACAAGTCGGGGATCTTGTGCCCGACGCGGTAGCTCGGACCGGGCAGGGCCTGGTGGAACATTATTGGGTTGGGCCAGCATAACTCAGTCCGGGGCCCAGTCCAGAACAGATAATAAAATAATTAATTATATTTATTTAAATAGGTAGATCTAACAGACTTAAAAGACATTTTTTTTATGGTCTGAGATCTAACATTTTTCTGCAAATAGACTTATTAAAAAACCTAAGTCTATTCTATTTTAAAAATATATATCTATTCTGACATGTACCTATATAGAAGGCCGTAGGTTCCAGTTAGTCGGTCTGTCATATTTCCACCTCTAAGAACAAGTTACATGTTAAAGACAGATGCTCTCTTACTGAGAGATGATCATACTCGTTATGATGACTAATTGCTAGTGTGTATAATATATTATTATGATTTTCAAAAGGAAAGAGAATGGTGATGTTTTCATGTTTCTTGTTGAAAGATACCATTATAACACATTTTAAACTTTTTAAGAATTAAAAGGGAGGGTATATAGTGAATGTCGTAACCGAAACCTGTCAGTTTTAAAAAAAACTCATGCAACAAATCAATATTGATCGTGTGTGTTTCCTTGCATTTGGTTAAAGTGTATTAAAGGGAAATTATTAAGGATGTGAGTGCTTCTTCAATCTTGTCATGTTTGTCTTTTTTTTTTTTTTTTTGGAGTTCACACTCGAGAAAAATTATTTTAGTTGTATTTTCTTTTTGATATCGCCGGCAATTGAACTTTTTTTGTCGTTCAAAAATGTGATGCAGTTGAAAACAGTTATGATACTTCAGATCACACTAAAAGGAGAATGGTAAAGACGTTAGTTTGAAGAATGTTCGAAACAATCTAAAAAAAAGCAGAATTATAATTGAAAAAATTGATATTTGAAACAATTGAAGCATAAATAAAGAGTCCTAATTAGAGAAATTGAAGATAAGACTTCTAACTTCTCCACTTTCACACTTTATTTCGAGGTCATCTTTCAAGTTGAAATCATGCATAATTAGATCAAGACCATAACTCAAGAAAGCTACTAGTTCTGCCAACATAAAGCTATGAATGAATCATACAGAATTAGGTCAAAATTGTAACTGAAAGAATTTTCTTTTTATTTTTAATTAGAAACCATATATAAAATCACATTCAAAATGTGATTATTAAATTCTCTAAGATGAACTTGGAATCTGGGATGTTGATCTTATGTTATGTTATTTCAAAAATGTTTAGCTAATTTTTCAATTGAATTATAGATGAGTAGACCAATTTTTGAATTTAAAATAAAACAATGAAACTTCCATATATCAATCCAAAGAGTAACATTAGTTCAACAATTTGAAGGTAAAATCCTTGATCATGTGGACATCAAAACACCAAGAGCCAACTATCGAATAATACTTACTAATGATACTTCAACTATTACATTTATTAAGTACTACTACAAAATATATAAAAAACTTAAAATTACACTTAAATCAAACAATGAGTCTTTATTTATCCATAAAAGGTCAATAATGCTCGAATCACTAGTTGCAAAAGTGGTTGCAAAAGTTATCAAATATTAGTCTCACACACAGGAGGCCTATCTGAAAACATCATGCCTCGAGGCCCAATAAATTTACTTATTTGGACTCCACCTTTCAGATTGGGTAGTACTCTGCCAGAACAACTCAGAGTCTAGATCTATCAAGCTCATTCCGTCTGTGCTAAAGTCGGCATTCTGGTAAAAGGATCCAAATGCGGCCGAGGAATCCAGGTCTCCCAAACCCTCAAAAAAGTCACCCATAGGTGCACCTTCAGCAATAGTTTCCTGAACAATTTCAACATGTTATCCTTGAAGAAATCAAGATCAACTATATGTATCATATCATAAAATGACATTAACATTATGAGGATAGATAAAGGACTTGAGTACAAAAGTAGAGAACACCAAAACCAGGCATATAAGAGATAAGCATACCTCAGGCAACGTGTTGTAGTCTTTGAAAATATCAAGCATTGATAAAATATCAGCATCATTATTAACAGCTGGATTGTCTGGATATGAATGATTTGCAGGGTCAGGAGGTGTCAATCCAGTTTGACGTGAATTCACAGGATCAGGAGTAGGCATCGATCCAGTTTGACATGAATTCACAGGATCAGCAGTAGGCATTGATCCAGTTTGACACGAATTTACAGGATCGGGAGAAGGCATTGACCCAGTTTGACACGAATTCACAGGATCGGGAGAAGGCATCGATCCAGTTTGACACGAATTCACAGGATCGGGAGTAGGCATTGATCCAGTTTGACATGAATTCACGTGATCGAGAGAAGGCATCGATCCAGTTTGACACAAATTCAAATGATCAAGAGAAGGCATCGATACAGTTTGACATGAATTTGAAGGATTGGGAGAAAGCATCAATCCAGTTTGACATGAATTTGCAGTATTGGGAGAAGGCACCAGTTCAGTTTGAGATGGAATTGTGGGATCGGGAGAAGGCATCAATCCAGTTTGACATGAACTCGCGGGATCGGGAGAAGGCATCAATCCAGTTTGACATGAACTTGCGGGATCGGGAGAAGGCATCAATCCAGTTTGACATGAACTTGCGGGATCGGGAGAAGGCATCAATCCTGTTAGGCATGAACTTAGAGGAATGGGAGAAGGCATCAATCCTGTTTGACATGAACTCACAGGAATGAGAGAAGGCATCAATCCTGATTGACATGGCATGGATATTGAACCACTACATCTACTAGCTTGAAGATTCTGGTCATTCATAATATAACTAACAGGTGTCACAGGCAAACTGGGAACAAGCGCAGTCGATTCAACACAAGGTATTCCCACTTCATCATCACTCCAATCTTCTTCAATAAATGGTCTCCCATATTGCGCACCATTCTTGGGACCAGGACCTTCCTTTTGAAATACCCTACAGATTACATATGAATCCTGTCATAAAAAAACTTGTTAAAAACAGGATGGAAAAATCATTAAATGAAGTTAAAAGAAAGCAAGAAGGGATGCAAAACTAAGGCATGTTAAAACAGCAGAACTCATTTCGGCTGTCTAAGAAAAACATGAAGGAACATAATTCCATTTCAAGAATTCAACAACTCTAAAGTAAGAAGTGCACTTTATAATGATAAGAACTAAATCAATGAAAACACATAACTCAATTTAAGGATTCTCCCATAGTAAACTATAATCAATGATTATTGAAAGACAAAACAGATGCCAATAGTATCAAAACTAAACTGTACATTCACATTCAAAGGCACAACTACAAAACTGCCACATATCCACCAGTTCAATACTAACTTATACAATACCTCTCCCTAATAAGGCTCATAATATTATAACAATCAACAATAGAAAACAATTCAGAAACAAATTGTTACCTGAACAATCCCTTTGTCAGCCAGGTCCTTATCTTCAAGCCTATACTCATGCATAACCCAATCCGTTCGATCTCCACGAGGTGCTTTTCCAGTGTGAAACACCAAGGTTTTTATCATCCCCACAGTATGATTATTTTGTTGCACAGCTCTATCTTTACCAGTAGCTTTCCAAAACCCAATTTCAGTAGCTCGATTCAACCTTGCCCCACTTCCATACTTCTTCCCAATCGGACAGAAGAAGTACCATTCCAAATCCCCATTTTTCAGATAAGACATATCTAGAAACAAAAAAAAGAAACATCATCAGAACAAACAAATGGGCAAGACTGAAAATCACTATACTAATACTAAATAAACAAAATTTATGAAACTACCTGGGAGATCCCAAGGTGCATATTTGTAAATGTCAAGTTCAGCAATGACATCAATATGAAACTTTTTCCCCATGACTTTCCTTTTCAGAAAGTACTTAATCAATTCAACACCAGTAGGATGGAATCGAAACCCAGGAATCAATTTTGGTATAGCCATCAAAATCAATAACAAAAACGAACAATTCTCGCTTCAATTCAAACTACCCTAAAAAGCCCCAATGAGGTTGTTTGTTTGTTATATCCAACAAACAACCTCAGTCGTTATAAACACAATCGAAACCTCGTATCGTACCGATGATGATTATTATTATTTCAGAAGTGAATCAAGAGCGTCACTAAAACAACGAAAGCGGAAATGAATATGAAAACAGAGAGAGATTAAGAGAGAAAAAATTGAAAACCCTAAAATTGGAAGAGTGAAAGGGGGGAGTCAAGTCCAGTGACGAAAGAAGGTTTTGAAAGAACACCAAAGCCTGCCAAGGTTCATAACACAAGAACGATGACGAACGGATGAAAACGATGATGCTGTTTTTGGAAGGTAAAGAGTCATCGGCGATGTGAAACCCTAAATCGGAATTTGAACGATTCGATTAAGGAAGTGAGATGCGCGATAGAGAAAACACGGTGTGTTGGCTGTGAGAATATAAAGTGAAGAAAGAAGTGAGAGGTGTTTCGTTAATATATCAATATTTTATTTTGAGGCAATTACGGGAACTATTTAAAATTATTAAATTATATTATTTTTTTTAGAAAAATAAGTACGACCGAGTCAGCTTCATCTTTTTGTTTTTAAAAATAATAATTAATTGAAGAGAAAATACTATTTTTTTTATGTTGGAATAAAGAAAAGAAAAGAAATTATCTAAGAAATAAGGTTTTATTAACATCCATTACTTCGACGGTTATTATCTTATGGGAGGCTATGCAAAAAGATGATTACCCCGTATAATTATAATTACAAGTCACATGTTTTATTTGAATTTTTCACCCAAATAACCATCTTTCCACACAAATATTTCTAATCTACCCATCATTTCAATTTATTTTCCAATCTACCCTAGTTTGTGTTTTTTTTTAATTTTTTTTATAAGGGGGCGTCATGGGAGATGGAGTCTCCCTTATAACTTGTATGGGGGCGCCATGGGGGTTGGAGCCACCCTACAAATTATAAAGGGGGCGCCATACCCATTGGAGCCTCCCTTAAATGCCCTAAAGGGGGGCGCCATCCCCTATGGAGCCTCCTTGTAAATGAAATTAATTTTTTAAATATATTATAATGAATATAATTAAAATATTATATTATGGTTTTCCAAAAAAAAATTTATAAATAGGTAGACATGTTGCTAACATTGTTTCATCCAAATTTAAAAGAGTGAGTCATGTTCCTTAGAAGATATGGGCATGTAATTTTTTCTCCGACGAAGCCTCCGATAAGAATGTTGTTTTGGAACATTCAGAGTTTAGAACAACTACGAAGAAATTTGAATCGGTGGCTAGAAGGAGACATTCCAAATGGTCAAAGAATCAGGAGTATTGAAAGACTTGTCTCGTACTTCTCTATTGAAGACGGAAACATACGGCGTGACTGGGTGCGAATTAGAGATGACAACGAAGTTAGGTCTATGATGTTCGGAACTGATGATATTACTTTGATTGTTGTTATATCTTAGGTTATGTTGTAATAATCGTTGTATTTTAATGATTTGCGTTTTATGCTGTAGAAGTAATTCAATTCGGTTTTGTGGTAATGAAAAGTTGATATAAATATTAAATTGCAGGATTACACTAATTTTAAAGACCAAATTAAATCTACCTAGAACTTGTTCCAACATTTGGACAGTTTTTCCTCGTATGTCCTGGAAGACGACATATTCCGCACAGTCTTTCCATTTTCTCAGCTGTATCCATTTCAGTTGTGATTCGGGTGCTTTTGGGGCGGCCCTTTTTGTTTCTTCTCATATTTTCATTGTGGTAGATTGTGTCTCCATGATAGGTTGGCCAGTAGTCCTCACTAGCTACCACTGGAAAACTGCTACTGTAGATACCGAATAAGTTGACGACCTTGTAAACTTCTGATAGCTGCAAGAATGGATCCTGACGAGCAATTGAACATGCGGCAATGACATGTGAACAAGGCATGCGGAAGGTTTGAAACTTTCCGCAGTCGCACCAATTTTTATGAAGTTCCACCCTGTAGTGTCCCATTGGCCGACCCTCGTTGTGATCCATTGTCTCATCAACAATGAAGCTGTAATCGTGACGATCAAATGGTCTAACTCGATGTGAGGCCGCCTTAGAAGTTTCATCCCTCATATACTTCATGCTTGATTTGCTGAATATTTGCCCTGATTGCAGTACAGCGCTCCATTTTTTGCCTCTTGCTGCAAATAGTGACCCCAATCTGTAATACGTTGCCCTTACCAACGCTGTGATGGGGAGGTTCCTAGTTCCCTTAAATACGCCGTTTAGGGATTCTACAAGATTTGTGGTCATGTGACCCCATCTACACCCTCCATCAAATGACCTAGTCCATTTCTCGACTGGAATATTATCCACCCACCTTAATGCTTCTGCGCTTGACAACCTTATTTCTTCTCGGTAATACATGAATGATGGTTGGTTTAAGGCATACGCAGCGTTCACAACTTTTTTACGGAGGTTTCTGTCTTTAATGTCCCGCATAAAATTCTGAGCAATGTGTCTTATGCAGAAGACATGGACAGAAGGAGGGTTGTGCCAACCATTAGCAGGATTGTTGTAGGCGCTCACAATAGAAGCATGTCTGTCAGAAATCAGACATAAGTTGGGTTGTGGTGCGACATGTGTTCTGAGGTTTCTGAGGAAGAAACTCCAAGCTTCGCCTGTCTCACCCTCGACCAGGGCAAAGGCAATCGGAAATATATTATTATTTCCGTCTTGTGCTACCGCCATCAACAATGTTCCTTTGTATTTTCCATACAACCATGTTCCATCGACTTGTATAACTGGTTTGCAGAACGCAAAACCTTTGATACATGGTTGAAATGCCCAAAAGAGGCGAGAAAATATCCTACTTCCAGCAACACATGTTCCTTCAGGAGTGTATGCTGGTAGTGACTCCAATATTACAACCGTACCAGGAACATATTTCTGAAGTGCTAGTAGATACTGTGGAAGTTGATGGTAAGAATGCTCCCAATTCCCATATACATGTTCCACCGCTTTTATTCTACCTATCCAAGCTTTCCTATACGATGGGGTATAGTTGAACCGTGCAACAACATGAGAGATAATTGTGCTCACCTTCACAGATGGATCCGCGTCCACAAGATGCAAAATCTCTTGGGATATCAATTGAGAGCTTAGTTTTCCATGATCTTGCCGATTGATGTTGGTTGTGCAACTATGAGGTGGATCCATCGAACCTATCTCCCAACAATCACTTCTTTTCCGATAGGACGCTGCTAACCGAAACTTGCAACTTGCGTTACGACAAACTACGACATAGCGTTTTGAGTCGTTCCGATTGATGTAAAAATCAACAAAGTTATCCATATGAAACTTTCTTATGGCTTTCATGCATTCCTCTTTCGTGCGGTACTGGTTTCCGACTTTCAAGACACTTTCAATTTGTTGAGAAGGATTGTAGAAATAATCTGAGGAAGTATCGTCGCCACTGCATTGCAAGTTCGTCATGTGTTGAGGAGGACAATACACTTGATTTAATGGTAGGGCCTCTTCATCTATGTCTTGCAGGGGAGTCATTGCAGTGTAGTCCCCGCTCCCGAACAAATTAACCATTTGATCAACCATGGTCTCTGGATCTTCTTCCTCCTCGTCCACAACATCAATTTCATCTATATCCATTGTTTCACCAACCTCATGTTCAGTTTGGCAGAGTAACAGATAAACCTCGATATAGTCGAGGCCAGATTGTTCGTGACTATCGAACATTTGATCAACATCGCTGTTGTCAAGTATTTTCTCTTGAAAATACTTGACCTCATTGTTATCAAAAAAAACAGGACTTCTGTAAATGATCTGGGAGATTTGACCAGACAAAATCTTCGACTGTATGCGCTCTTTGAAATGCACAAAATTTGCTTTTCTACTCATGGTTAATCGGGTAAGATCAGTATTTTGAAACCCGAAACCGGAATTCTCAGAGATGAAAGTCTCTCCATTATAATGGGCATGAACAATGTAATTGGATGTTCTAGACATGGTTGAATGATAGTTTAAGGGATGTATACTATCTTTTGCTTGAATGTATACATATATATTAAAATCCCACGAATTAAATATTATTAAAACATATAAGGGGGGCGCCGTGGGGGATGGAGCCCCTTCTTTAAGTTATAAGGGGGGCGCCGTGGGGGATGGAGCCCCTTCTTTAAGTTACAAGGGGGGCGCCGTGGGGGATGGAGCCCCTGTGACACGTGTAAAAGAAGTTACTTTATGCATGCATGCAGTAGGACATGTGTAAGAATTCATCTATCAATATTTCTACACATCAATCTCTTCTTACACAAATTCAACTATCTCATTAATATCAATAAATATTACAACTACACAAATTAAATTTTTACCTATACAACCATAAATTCAAATTTCAAATTTCAAATTTCAAATTTCTACATTTCATCTATAAATACTTCTCCTCTTCATTCTAAAAAACACATCAAATATATTCAACAATTCAAATTCTCCCAATACTTCCCCTCAAATTTCACTATAGAAGCCATGTCTCTCTTAACAATGGGTGAAACGCATCGAGGAACACCAAACAACATCTCGTCGTATGTAAGTATTCCTACTTGATAACTCACAGTGTTGTAATAATTTGTTGCATTATAATGCATTTAAAATGTTCTAATGACATGTTTTATTTTTTTTTGTAACAAATACAATGTTCTAATGATATGTTTTATTTTTTTTGTAGGATACTCATGAATTTCGTACTCGTGGGCATAAATATTTCCCACATGATCCGTTGATTCAACCTTTTTTGGAGCGAGCAGGTTTTGGAGAGGTCGTTAAGATAACAAATTATCTCATTGATTCTAAGTTTATTTTGGCTTTGCAAGAAAGGTGGCGACCCTATTTCCAACCCCCACTCACGCAATCACAGCCATATGAACATACTCCTAACCAATTCACTCCATTCACACAAACTCA